AAGCAGCATTTCTTATTCTCTTCCCTCACTTAAAAACCTTCTGAAGGTATTAAAAAAACATCAGTACTCTAAAAGCATTAGAACAAATCCCTGAAAGAAACCCACAAGCTACATATATATTTAAGAAGCATCATCTGTGAATGCAGACTAACAGGGTCTTAATGGCCTTGTACATGTTCCTTTCTGCTTATACTGTGTTTCATCACTTTCTGCTCATTTATTTTTTTCTAGTCCATACCTCATTTTAGAGCCAATCAAGATTCCTGCGTTGAGGTAACAAGACTGCATTTAATTACCTGGTAAGAAAGTTCAGGATAGTTCAGTTGGGTAAATTATAAAACCAAAGGAAATACTGGTTCTGCCTTGAGACGTACTCTAACAGAAATCCAGTTTTACTACCAGGAACAATATGTTTTCTAATAAAAGTAAAGGTCAACATAGAAAAATACAATGTGCAGCACATAAATGTTGATTTCTAAAGACAGCTGAAAATATTTAGGAGTCTCAGTAATTTTTGTTTTCAGTTATGTGCCCACAACTTACCTAGTTTCATAAGGATCTTTTAATTCTCTTCCAATAATATGATGTAAAACAACTGATGCATACAACATGGAAAACAAGTAAAACACCTCATTCCTACTTATTAAGAAAGTGGGGATTTTTTTTGCTCATTTTTTTTCTCTCTGCAGAAGTACTGCATTTCAATGCTTTCTTCATTTCAGACACTACAAATACACCATGTAGAAACTGAAATTTAAGACGACAGCAAGTATTTATGTAATTTAAAAATATCTGCTTCCACTTGATGGAGCAATACTTGCATGAATGGTATGTTAATAAAGCAGATTATACTTTATCTCAGTGTAATTTTGAAAATATCAAAGATTTAATATTGTATACCACATGAAATTTGAATGTATATTGCCACAATATCCTAGTTTCACAACATTTTTACAGAACATGAGTACTGACACTGGCTTTTCTTTTCATCAAGCAAGCTCATTTTAAATGCCTCTTTTGTCACACAAGATCAAGAGACTACACCAAAGCGATATTATTTATATAGTGCTAAAGAATCAAGTACTCAAAAATAAGAGAAAACAGATAGTTTTCACAGCTGACACTGCAACTCCTCCTTTATGTATCCATCCTACTCACTTGATAAGCCAGCTGTTATAAAAGACAAGGATGAGCAGCAACAGGGGGGAAAAAAAAATATAATACAAGAAACAGAGCACAGAACCAGTAGAAGATAACTAACATAGACAAGAAGCTCAATTTAGACTGTCAAATCAGCCCGAAAAGGCAGCACTGACAGCACTGAAAACTGAAGTCACCTTAAGGCTCTAAAATGACCTACTGCACCTTTGGAAATGGATACTTAGGTATAGACTTTCTAAAACGCCCAGGCAACAAAATAGATAGGTGTGCGGGGCGGGGGGTGGGGGGGAAGGAAAAAAAGAGAAGAAGAGACAGGGGAAGCAAGCATTCATCTCCTATTATCAACGGTTAAAAACTTCTGATCCCACACTCTTAAATCAGTTCACAGATCACAGTCTGAGAAACCATATAATTAGATACAAATGACCTACAGAATTACACTATGTAATTTAACAGCAAAAAGCTTAATATGACATCTGTGTAAGAAAGTCTGGAAGCTGAAAAGCGTACAGTTCTCAAAATCATTCAAGGCAGTAGCACAGAAACCTGACCTACTGATAAATTGATATAGAAATTCATGAGCTACAGGAGTTGTGTAGAAATTATGAAGTATGTTGTCCTACACCAGTCTTTTTAACATATCCTGAACGTTAAGATAGGTGTTTCAGAAAACAGAATTATTATAAATGGTGTTATTAAAATGCCCAGTCTTTCACATACCCACACTATCCAGGTAAGGAAAAAGAATGCAACCCTTCCACATTAACCTAATATAAATGGAAAGATGGTTTTCCTCAAGCTTCAGCAGATATGCTCACGGGCTATATCCACCACGTATTTTCCTCCTCACTATAATCTTTATACTTTTATACTTCTCTGTTTACCAACTCTAAGCCAGCTATATACCAAGACAACAGGTAGTCTAGTTATTAATCATTAAGGAAGTAAACCAACCAAACATCTCCATGTGTGCCTCAATTTCCAGAGATGCTGAAAACACATTTGTTTAAAATTCTTTAGAAAAAAAGTACTAGTGTTTAAACACTGAGCGCGTATTTCTTCTCTGATAATTTAAATAGCTTAATTGCTCTTGCTCAGATCTCTGGAAAGGGAAATCATGTTTCAGCTCCAGGGGAAAAAAAGCACATTAAAGAACAGATTAGAGAAAAAGGATCATTTAAATGAAGACTGCTGCAAAATGATCCACATCATTCAGTATTTGAGTATGTATTTAACTTCCCCCCACACAGAAGAGTTTTTCTAAAGGGCAAAAAAAAGGAAAAAAAAAAAAAAAAAAAAGACAAATAGCCACAGAACACAAGACAACTGAAATCTGGGTCTGCAGCATAATCACTTTTGGTTTTAATATGTCCATTTCCATTTTGCTTTTAATTGAGGTATCAGTTTCCTAGGACTAAACACATTCACATCATAAAGAGTACTTAAGCAAATCTCCTTCAGCTGAAGACAAGCAATTTATAATAAAGCTCTACTTTAAAATAGTTTTAAACTGTGCCCATTTTTTATGCTTCTGACACACAATATAGGAACTATACTTGTGTCCAGTAACATGAAAACCAATCATAAAAGAAAACTAAATCTCTCTGTAGCCTTGAAAAGAAATTTAGTCATTATTAAAAAAAAGTCTTTATACTTCTGTTCCTGTCATCTAATGAAATTTAGAAAAAAATCTGATGCTAATATCCTTTTAGGGTGCAGCTTTTATGAAAGTTACCAATGGAAAGATTTTCCAAAGATACAACTGAGAACATAGATTCTGATCCTCTTAGTTCATATTATTTCTTATTTTGTCTTAAAAAAAAACAAAACAAAACCATACTACACCACCTATCAGGATTGTCCTAATTGAGACAAACCCAAATTCTTTTATATGAACTCTCCCCTCTGACAGACAACTGTACCTGTTTAAGTAACAGTATTAGTTGCTTACTGTCAACGTAAGCTTTTCTTCAGTGCATCACTAAACAAAAATACATTTTACCAAGCACATCATAACAGAGAACAGTTCGATCCATCTGATGTTTGTAATCACCACACAGGAGCTAAAGGCTATTTGTCAGTCAATCAACAAGTAGCTACTTACATTACAAAACTTACTATGGTAAAGGAATGCAGTCTCAAAACATGTATTTATTTAGATTAATTTAACCAGCCTTAATTGTCCACTACCTGAGACTCAGGTCTCAGCCTGCCTTACTTGTATTATTTTAAGAGCCCTCACTGTCTAAGCATTCAGAGTCCTGTCACAGTACAATAAACCTCTACATGGAAGTGGTGCTTGTTTTGATAAACTTTCTGAACTCCTGTTCTTAAGCCAGTAATAATTTAATTCAAAGGGTAAACAAACATACTAATGTTGTAAATGCTAGAAATAAAACAAATAGTCTAGAAAGGCAAACTTGATTTTAGTCCAAATAGTCTAATTTTTCATTTCTCAGACCAGTATATTTTGTCTCAAATGTTCAGGAAAGACAAAACTGTATCTTTCTACCACAGAACTTTGTCACTGCCAAAATCTCAGAAACAATTCCCACTGCTGAAATGCGTAACTCAGATTATCTGAAGGAAATCTGAGAAGAGATGCTACTGTTCTTTTAAATGAAGATATAGCTAAACTAACTGAAGTTCATGATGAGTTTTTTAATCTCCTGACAAATAATAAAAAAATCTTCATTTGCTCCAATTAAGTTATTACTTATGAAAACATCACTCGAAACACTCCTGCTTTCTGATGTATCACTTCACTAGCCTCATCAGATCTAGAGCCATCTGCCAGCCCCCTGATGATCACCGTTAAAATACAAAAATATAGCATGTTATATGTAAAGAGAAATTTCAGTTCCTGTGTTCATGATTTATATTTGCACTCACATAGCAAAAGCTCCTGCAAGAACTGCAAAAGACACAGTAAAATAAAAATCAGCTTAAACAGAACTTCTTACAATGTCTAAATTCATAAGCAAAAACAAGACTAGGATTAAAACTCTTCATCACATGCATTAATTCATTTTTGTTCAAACATATACATTTTGCTAAAGTTATAGGACAGATATTTGATAGCACCATTGAACAGGAGGGCATTAATTTCAGGTTCCATGACTAAGAATGTATCAATTAACTTCACTTATTTGATAACTTTTTGAAAAAAAGTCTGCAAGGTACCAAATTCATCCAAGCCTTGATAAACATTATTACATTTGCAAAAGGAAAAAATGAAAATTTATTAAAAACCTCCTGAAAAGTTACTCTGCCCCACAAGGAAAATAATTCCTGGAGGGGTTTTTTCTGTACCACTTGCAGAGATCTTCCAGTACAAGTTTATATTTAATTTAGATGAGATGAACAAGATTCAGATCTTATATATGCAAATGTAATTTTCATTTTGGGGCTCTTAAAATTAGGACAAGAAGTTCAGATTGCCAAATTGTGAATACAGTTAACCTTGAGCTTGGTGGTGTTTGTTTTTTTTTTTTAATATGAAGGTCAACTACATATGCTGTTCTGAATTGAGTGATTAATTCTCAAAAGTACAGTGAATGACAACAACAGAACACACATGATTTGGTCTGACAAAAAAAAAAAAAGTTTCTGAGGACAAGACAGACACTGGAACACTTACTAATTTCTCTGAGGAAGTTACTGCATTTTGAATGAAATTCCACGAAAGTACAATGTACATAATTTACATTAATCCTCGGAGTATGTGAAGGAAAGCGTGTAAGATGCTCAAAAACTTCAAGCCAGAATCTAAAAGCATTGGTTTAAAATTAAAACAGATAATTAAGGAAAAGTTTCTCTCACTTGGATTGTTTGCTTACCTCTGGGGGGGGATATAAGGAGCAGATACTGTTGGCATAACTGTACAGGGTTCAACCACTGTTTTCTTGGCTTTTTTGGTCTTTTTTCTGACTTTTGATGTAGACCTAGCAGTTCTGACTGATCCTTCCTTTCTACAAACACCGTTTTTGATTTCAGCTTCTCCATAAATATTTAGAGGTCTCCGTGTGCAACCTGGTGGAGTATGTACATCGCAATAGGCAGTCTTTTTTACAGAGAATGTTGTCCCACTGCCAGTTAATTCTTTCACAGGTTCCATTTTCATATATAGACCGGCCTTTTGAGCACACGTCACATGGAATGCAGTATAGCAGTTTGCTTTGTGGCACTGGATGCAGGCACCAACACCTTTCTGTTTACAGAGGTAGCATGTTAACTTCCATCTGGCTGGGGGAATGTTCCTGACACCATCAATTGGCTCAATAAAAACTGTATTGGCAAATCCAACTTCTGGAATCCACAAAGCACACACAACGTGTCCCCAACGATCATCATCAGTCTTTTTAAAGGCACCTCCCTTGTTCGGGCACAGCACACAGTCTACAGGCCGAGAACGGGACTGCAGACAGTGTCTGCAGAGCCACTGGCCCTCGGGTATATATGGCACCCCATAGCATTCCTGATGTACTGCTAAATTACACATATCACAAAACAGGATTACATTGCTGTTCTGACATTCACCATCCATGCATATACAACACACCGCATCTTCATCAATTAAAGACTGATGATCACCCTGTTTTTGGTTCTCACAATAAGACTCTTTCTCAAACCTATCCATAAGGAATTCAAACATATTTTGTGAAACAACTGACACTCCATCGCTTTTCCGCTTCTCGTTTATTATTTCTAACCATGCGTAATCTTCTTCATCCATGTCATACTCAACTTCGTTATCAAGTTCTTCTGCTGACTTCTCAATGAATTTGTAATAAACTGGAGGTCTCCGAGGAGCCGAAGGGGGACTGTATTCAACAATCCGTACTTTTGGTTCTGGAAGAGGAGTTGTTGTAGCAGGTATACCATGTGAGCTCGGAAGAGCTTCATTTTTCTTTTTCACTTTGTTATTTTTATGCCGTTTGCTTCTTAGACAAACTGGTGGTCTTTCACTATTTTCTTTATTGCTGTTGCACTCACTCATTTCCTGGGCTGTAAGATCATCTTCTAATATAATCTCTAAAGGATCAAAGATACTGATCCTATGCAGGCGACCTTCAATTTCTATTTCAACCATTCTTTGAGCTTGAGCGTATGTCAAGGTTTCTCGTGTGGGGGAGTGCTTAATACTGCATGGGGAAGAAGAATGCCTTGCTGCCGATACTCGATGACATCTTCCTTTTCTCCTCATTTGGTAATGTTTACCTAAAATTAGAGCAACAGTTAATATTACAAACCCCAAATGTTCATATTAAAATATTACTTTTATTACAGCAAGGAAAAAACCCTTCAGTTCTGTAACCCCCAACCAAATTAAAAAAAAAAAAAAAGAAAAAAAAGAGAAAAAAGCCTGTTACCTTTACTTAATAGGACTGCTCACACCATTTGCTACAAATTTAACCTAATGATAAAGAGATCTCCTAAATAACAGCTTCTCGAAGTAAACACAGCTATACAAAATCCTTGATACAAAAATCCTACAGGAGAGCTATCTGTAAGACCTCTGCGTGAGAAAAAAATGTTTCAGAACCGCCACAGAATAAAAATTACACTTGTTACATTGTAAGAAAACCTTTAATACAATATTTCCTAATACCTTAAGGGTGTAGGCAGCTTGAAGTTTTTTTCCACAGCTACAGGTTACTTTCTCCAGATCTCCCCCCAGAAAAACTAACATAATTGTGGAAAAACAAAGAAACAAACAAGTTTTCCCCACCATTTTTTCCAGTGCAACTTGAAATAGTTATGTTAACAACTCAATTACTACAGCTATACTTAAAGCTAGAAAAAAATATGTAAATCCAAATTTGGCAAGTATGCCGTTTGACAGCCTTTTACTTTTTTACTTTTCTCACTTCTTAGTGAGCCTATTATTCTTTACAAAATGACAAGAACACAGTGGAACTTGCAGTGCCCAATATGGCACAGTACAGACTGCAACTAGGAGATATTCCACCTGTAAAGCAGATTTGACTTACAGCAAAAACAGGCTGCCTCTGTGTCAGTATGCATGTACACACACACACACCTTCTCCCTCAACAGATTCTCCCAGAGTTGTTCTCAGAGCAACTGTGGTAGATAAAAATCTCCCTGTCTTTAAATCCAATCCCAAAATCATTAATGTAATTTTCAAGTTTCTCACTTACTGGAAAAAGATCATTCTACATACCCTACTAAAAGATAGCTTCCCCACCACCACCATGAAGCAACATGACTAGGACAAGCATGCATTCTGATCACAAGATTTCTAATTAAAAGCTTCGATACTTATACCTTTTGATATTTTAATGTTGGGGGTTGGGAGGTTTTCTGTTTGTTTGTTTGTTTGGGTTTTTTTCCCTATGAGGATTGAAAATGTTATAAAACCAACTGATAAGGTCAGGTTTAGAAGTTCTTTCACCCTCTTTCCTCCTTACTAATAAATCATTAATAAATAGCAAAATTCAACCTCAGCTACAAAAAAACCTCCTGATCTTTAATCACTGACTTAAAGTATGGTTAAGGGCACATCCTTTCAATTCTGCACTTCAAGTCAGCGTTGCCTATTAGTTAAAATAATGCAACTAGTGTTAGCATGTATTGCCAAAATAGCAGAGAAATAGAGAGATCAAAACACAATTATTTTTAAAGACTAGTGTATCTATTTCAGGAAGAAAATAGCAAGGATTGGAACAACTACATAAGCTACCCCATGTAGCCTGCCTTTTGCTTAGTCTATGTATTTAAATGTACACCTTCAAAGTACTGAAGGAACTGCTTTTACAGGAAGACTAATTCAAGCAGCTAGCGTTAAAACTAGTTCTTGAGAGGGTCTGATCTTTCTTACTCTCACAAACTGACCTTGTTTTCCCAATCTAAGCTGGTTTTATTATTCATGCGAGAACTGTGATGCTCACAGATCTGACTTTTACACAAATAATCCTTAACTCCTTATTAGTTGTTTTTATATCACAAGCACAAATCCAAAACCAGTCAGTGTTTAATCATGAAAAACCTATGATCTGTTCTATATAAACAACAGATGAATAAAAAAGGATCCACCTTTTCCAACAAGTTCGGAAGAAATATTTAATAATTTAATTTGGTAAAATGTCACAGGGTTAAATCATAATGATTTCTTAACTGCAGAAGAAGTTTAAACAACTAACACTGCTACAGAAAATCCAATAACTAGAAACAAACGCATACTGATAATTTAACTGAAATTAAAAGTTAGTTTCCACTTTCACAACAGATTTGATAATTCAGAGGCCAAAGATAATGCAATGGCCCTGATTTCTGTTTATTATTGTGAAAAAGTAACGTGGGATTCTTTAGCTAAAATACACTGACATGTCAATGTACAGCAACATACCATAAAAAGAAACCATTCTCATCTGCAGTAATACTTTTTATATGTCTTTAGTCACCAATCAAGAAAAAACATTTACATTATATTTACCTCATGTAACTGTACTTCAATTCTACCTAGATGTAAAAGGTTTGTTTTTTTTTTTTTTTTTTTTTTTTTTTTGTTTGTTTGTTTGTTTGTTTTTTTAAATGTCCCCTCCTACATCTTAGCTGGTTGTGTATCTTTTCATAGTGGTTTATGAGGATAGTAACTGTTTTGAACAAAAAATACTGGGGGAGAGATGCTAGGTAGCCTTCAGAAATAAAAAAAAAAAAAAAAAAAAAAAAAAAGGTGCAACTTGTCTACACTTCACTAACTTAACCCACTACCACAGAAAAACACACTAATGATGGGTTTCCAAGCTTTCCATCCCTCTCTGTTCCCAAGATTCTTAAGCATGGCTGCAAGCAGGCAGTAAGAACAGGAAGAAAATATTCAACAGCACAAGCGTTCTTGCTTTAAGATTCAGGACTACTATCGTAAAAGTCAAACAAACTGCATGAACCAGAATGATAAAAAAATGGTTGAGCTAACATCCAAGCATCTTCCCTGTAATACTCAACTGTAAATAAAGCTAAATTAGGAAGCGCATTACAGTCACAGCTAAATGCAGAATGGATACTCTACAGATATAATGCAATGAACACAGAATTGGAACTGATAGTACTCCAGCCAAATTTCATAGAAACTTAGTGTGAATAACTCCAATGCTCTGGAAGCCAAAGCAATGTTTTGGTTTCTCAAAAATTATTCTTTTTGCAAATGTCCTATAAATATTCATGATGAAGACCAGACTTCGGCATAACAAATTCATGACTGGCCCTTGTTTTGCTTTTTCTAGGTAATTATCATATATCTTTCTTCCCTCCTGTCCTGCAGTATCCTATAGATGCACAGGAATGAAGACCATGGATTTAAGCTTGAAAAAATAAAGAACTAAGTTCCCTTTCAATATTAACAAAGACACCACACTAACAGCAAAATGAACCACTTAGCGTATTTCTGTTAGCACTTTTCTGCCTCTTACAACTCAAAGACTGCAGGAGATAAAACTGGAAAGTTAACCACAGCTTTCCTCCCTTGAAATTATATCAACTGCTTAGGAAGAAAGTCAGCACCAGACGCTTTCCTTGCCACGACAAGAGTACATGAAGACTGCTGTTTTTGTGGAATGTATGGTATGAGGCAAAAAAATACTTTTTATCGCTGCGCAGGATAGCTAAAACCGACAGAAAAAGTATTATAACGTACAATTTTTGATTGCTAAGTCCTTTTACAATCTCTGTCCTAGCTACCTTCCTCCTCTTCAAACAAATGGCCTTTGGTCCCTGGATCCCCTGCTCAATGGAAACGAGAATTCCATTCTCAATGGGCACTTTCATGCAGACCATTAAAAAGAGAAAGACACAGGAATGCTCTTTGGTCCTAGACAATGAGGGAGGATAAGCAAACAGTGATTACACGCACACGGGGCTGACACCACCCACAACTTCAGCTGCGGAGCAGGAGCAATCCCCTCAGGGGAAGGCGGAGAACTGGCGCTCACGGAGCCCACCGAACCGGCTCGGGATCACCAGGGCCGCTCCCCCCCCCGGGACCCACGCAGCCACCCCGGCTACCGGCGCGGCCCCGCCGCCCCGCGCCGGGGCCTGCCCACGCCCACGGCCCCGCCCTCGCCGGTCCTGCGCGAACGCTTCCTGCCCACGCCCAGGGAGCCTCCAGCGCGCACACACCCCTCCGCGCCGATGGTTCCTGCCCGGCCCCGGCATTCCCCCCTCCCGGCCCCCGGGAGGATGGTTCCTGCCCAGGCCCATCATCTCCAGCCCTTCCCAACAGTCACCTCCCTCCCCTCCGCGAAAATACTCGGCCCACAAATATGGCGGCTGACAAAACAGCTCGAGCGGCGCCCTCCCCCAGACCGCCGCGCTCGGCTCCCCCCCGCGCAGCCTCCGCGCCCGCCCGCCTCGCCCCCGGCCGCTTCTCCTCTCAGCGCCCTCCCCCGCCGCCGTGCCCAGCTCGCCCTGCCCTTCCCCCGCTCAAACACCACCACCCCCCCCCTCCAAAACCACCACCAACCCCGCCGGTCTCCGTCTAGCCGCGGCGGGACCCGCCGGCTCCCGGCCCCGCAGCTCCCCCCCACACCCGCCGGTCCCCCGGCTTCACTCACGCTGTGGGAGCCGCCAAAGCGCGGCTGACAGACCTCCCGCTCCGCCTCTGCGGCCGACGCTGCGGCCGGTTTAATGGCGGAGGTCCCGCCGGTGCTGCCGCCTGGTCCCGCGTCCGGCAGCCGCGGGCGGGCGAGCGGGCGCTGCGAGGGCCGCGCTGCCGGCGGCGGCGGCGGGGACCCGGCGCTGGGTGCGGGGCTGCTGCTGCAGCCGGGCGCGGCGCATTCGTGAGGCGCGGCCGCGGGTCGCCGTCCGGCTGCGGGCTCGGCGCTCGGCTCCCGGGGCTGAGCAGCTCCCCTCCCCCCTCGGCACAAACAATGCGGCTTCACCACAGCGCTGCGCCGACGGGGGGGGAGGAGAGGAGAGGGAGGCAGGGAGGGAGGGAAGGGACGTGAGGGCGCCAGGCACCGCCCAGACCCGCCGCCGCCGCCGCGGGGCGGGGCCTGCGCGCCGCCTCTCCCCCGGCACCAGGCGCCCCGGCGGGCGGGGCGGGGCGGGGCCGGGCCGCGCCTCAGGGGCGAGGGCGGGAACGCGGTTCCGGCCGCCTCTTTCCCGCCCGGGCCCGGCAGCAGCCAGACCCCCGCGCCTGCCCTCAGCGAGCGGCTTGCAACGCCCCAGCGCGCGGTGGACGGAAAGAGGTGGGGAGGGG